CAGTCCCCGCGTCCTAGCCTCGTCCTCAGCGCTGGGGTTACTCTCGCGCAGGCAGGCAATCCGATCACCCACTGCGGAAGCGGTGTCACTCCTACTCTTCCTTCGGAGCCGCACAGGTTTCATGCAGGGTGGCATCCCGACCCCCTCCCGACCCCTCTAATCTGGTATGCGAAGTCTGCACTGGGGAGAGAAACGCAGCGGCGGGGGTGGGGTGGGGGGAGGTTTAACAGAAAGCGTGAGAGCCACCGGCCGGCTGTTATCTGGAGCTGAAGGCTGCGGTAATCGATGGGTTATTTTTACGCAGTAATAGGGCCCTGTGATTGCTCTATTAACCTTTAGACCTGTCTGAGGGACTCTCCGGCTCACAGCCCCGCTGCGCTGGGGCCTTTAGGCACTGACGCCGACTCCAAACCTGGGCCAGCCACCTTCCCCGCCCCCGCTTAAGGGAGGAGGCTGAGGCTGTAGGGAGAGCCCTCTCGGCTGAGAAGTCCTGCTGGACTGCGGAGCTCCCCAGCACCACCCCCCACCCTCCGCCCCCGCCACGTCCTTGGGATTAGTGTAGCGGCGCCGCAGGCTGCTCTGAAATCAGAAAGATCTGAAAGGAGAGTCCGCAGGAGATGGGAAGCTTCGCCAGGCTGGGGTGCACATTTTGCATAAATACGTAAAATCGAGGGCTAGAGCCAGCGCCTTGCAACTTAGGAAGCTGCTGAGCAGGGGAAAAGGAGGCTTCCCGTCTCTGAACTCAGATCTGAGGGGCCAGTCCCAGGTTTGGTGTTTCTTACACCTATCCAGAATCCCGGGCCAGGCGGGTTCCCCACCATCCACTACCCCCTGGAGACCTATAGCCGGCTGGGCACTCCTGGTGACCCAGTGCCCTATACCCGCTTGTGGGTCACCTTCTCCATCAGCCCTGCCCCTTGCCCACCGAGCCTAGGGCCGAGAGTATAGGGCCAAGCCGGATCCGGGTCACCGGGAGGCAGGGCGGGGGAGGGGGAGAGAGGAGTTCATTAATAAAGCTGACCCTGGGCAAAATTGCAAACCCAAACGACCTCCGCCAAGGCGGTGGGTGAAGCCACGCGCCCTGGCGGCCGCACTTTGGCGTTTGGCAAGGAGATTTCTGCGCCTGGACTTTGCCTGCTGGGGTAGTTTTTAGAGCAGCCCTGCAGCCGGACGCCTAGCAGAGGTACTGCAGGCTTGCCTCACCCCCGCCCCCCGCCCTTGCACGTGACTCCCACAGGCCAGTCAGCAGCAGCGAGCCGGAGCGCAGGGGCGAGGGGACCCAGGCGGCGAGTTAGGGACTCGGAGGCTGCTGGCACTGTGGCTGCGAGAACCGCCGCGGCCGCGGCCAAAGCTTCTGGGCCCGGGAGATCACTCGCAGCCCTCCTGGGAGCTCCAGCCCCCGCAGGTACGGCTTTTTTCGTTCCTGACCTTGCCCTTTCGCGCCGATCGCGGCACTGCGAGCTCCCCGCGCTGGTGTGCCTGGGAACAGAGAGGTAACTAGTAGGTGGAAAGGAGATGTTGGTCACTCTTCTTCCCCCAGATTTGCCAAAGCCTGCTCTGCCTTTGGCTTAGCAGCTTCTTTAAAACAAAGTAAGATTTGGGGGGAAAGCAGAGAGAGAGATCTTTGAAGTTGCTTTTGGCTTCTTTTGGTATAAACTTGAGCGGTTTTAATCCCGCTCCCGCGTGCAGTTTCTCCAGCCCTTGTTTGCACCTCGCAGGCCAGGGCCCGGGTGGTGATGGCCGTGAGAAATCACCCTGACCCGCTGACCCCGGGGCAGGCACACGGCAGCTCGGACGTGGAGGGGCTCCGTCCGGCCAAGAAGTGTCGCCCGTTGGTGATCCCGGGACGCACGGTGGCTGTGGGGGACAGAGGCCCCAGGGAGGCGCTCTGAAGTTGAAAAGGACTGCTGAACGCCCAGGCTGTCTCTCTGCCCTTCGGACCAGCTTCCTCGCCTTTCTGACTGGGGTGCCGGGAGCTAAACGCCCCCACAAAGCAGCCTTACCCACCCGCAGCGTTTCTGGGTGACACTAGCTGAGGGCCGGGACCTGGGCGGAGAGCAGTGACGTCCCTCTGCTGGCCACGGTTTGCGGAGGAGATCCAGGATCTTGTTCTCTTGGCTTTGGGCTGGCGTGGGGGTGCAGGGTCATCCAGGGGAGAGGAGGTCGCCCCAGTGGTGAACTGCCACCGTGTTGAGGGAATGAAGGGCCTTTCACTTGGGAGAACAGGGTGGTGAGGGACCCCAAGGCCTGGGGAGAATCGGGCAGCAAGGCTGACGCGGCCGGGAAGGTTGGGGAAGCAGGGAAGGCTGGGGAAGCGCCAGGGGAAGTCTTTCCTGTGTTTCTCAGAAAGGGAATTGGCAGCCAGGAGCAGGTTTCAGGCTGTTGAAGACGGGAAGGTTTTCTTGCGGGTGACGAGGTGATGCCCCTACACTTCTGAATGTGTTCGAGGGTGACAGTTTTCCGCGCAGCAGGCCCAGAGCGAAGGTGCGAGCTGAGCGCAAAGAGCAGGAGTGACCTGTAAATGGACGCGAACATTCTGGCACTCCGGATCCTCTGGCTCTCAGAAAGAGATCGGAAAAGGGCTGTGGGTTGCTCTCGCCCAGATAGATAGCCTTTCCTGTCTGGCCTGTGAATTTGGGGTGAACTGGGATGAGTGATCAGAAATAGAGGGAAAACTGGGACATAGGCCTGGCCCGCACAGCGAGGCCAGACCTCTGCTATTCTCAGGGGCCCCCGGGGCTCCCTCCGCGGGCGAACGGATGGATGCCTGGACCAGCGCTCAGTTAATGAAAAAAGCAAGAGTCGTTTTTAGGAAATAGTTAATTTATTGATGGGTGTTTTTTTTTCTTTTCAGGAAGCTATAGAGAGTTATTTTCTCCACCTTCTATTGTCCAGTAGTCCAATTCTGAGGCAATGCATGGGCTATTTAAAAAGACAGAGAATGGCAGACAGATGTTAGATTTATGACATTTTTAGCGTTTACATTTTAAAACTTGTAAGTTAGCATCTATTGAAAGTTGGATTGCAAAAATTATAAACCTTCCTTTCCTGCAGTTATGTGAGAAAAAACTCACGATGTTATGTTTCAGAACTGCAGAAGTTGAGTATTACAGAAAATATAATGAAATAGGTCAACTACTTGATCTAAAAATTAAATAGTGGGTATTTTATTAAGATAAACCCATGTATTTACTTACTCAAATGCAGAAATTTCTATGAGGTATTAGGTTTTGTTTTTTGGGGGTTTTTTTGCCTTCATTTTCAAAGGGGAATGTTGGTGATCTCAGGTCAAAATTTTTGTATCCGCCCTCTAACCAAACTTCTTACTATAAGGAAATGTCCACCAAACCAATAATTTATTGTATAGTTTAGAAAGCAAATATTTAGGAGTCAGTAAGTGACTATATAATACAGTGCTATTTTCATTGTTATTATTAGTGATGTTGCAAAAATGGGTAAAAGCACTTAGAAGATTCCATCTCCAGAATTTTTCATAATAATAAAGATAACCATTTATCTTTATCATTATATCTGAGGCACTTTCTTATGGTACATTAGAAATCTGTGATAATAATAATAGCCAACAATTATGTAGAACTTTCTTGTGCTTTCTATAACAGTTTTTTAATAGACCCTGTATAAGTAGCTCTACATCCATTGATTTTTAATTCTTACCATGACTCTAAGACAGATACCTTTAATATTTGCAGTTTTGCAAATGAAGAAACTGAGGCTCCGAGAAAGAAGTTAAGTAAGGCGTTTAAAGTCATTCATGCAGTCAGTGGTAAAGCCTGGATTTAGCAGATAGTTCAGTTAATATCTTTGTAAGTTTACTGTTACAATGAAAGAGAAACCGCTGTTAGGGGTAGCTGCCTCCTCTGAAGGAGAAAAGACGGAGTGTCGTGGAGGGCCTCAAACCCCTGGAGCCCTACAGGTCCCCTTCCCCCACCCCTTCCCCTGTACTTTGATCTTCGACAAGTTTCAAAACTTTCCGAGGCTTCAGTCCCCTCTTTTGTAAAAGGAGGAGAGACGCTTTTACTTAGTGGAGTTGCGGAGAGAGGGACCTAAACAGAACAGGTGCTTCAGAACGGGGAGCTCTTATTTTATCAGAAAAGGTGCCTGATAACATCAAAACACAGCATATAAGCATATAATCAAGTCCTGTGAACTGTTCTTTGCCGCTCTCTTTGGTGTTCTGATTCCAGACACGGCTGGACCAATGATTCTATATGGAAAATCCATTCAGTGCAATTGGAATGGGCCAGTGATTAGTTCTGGAAAGTGACAATTTATGTTCCTCTCACTTTCTTGGTCTTACTGTCCAATCTGCAACATCTCTAAAATATGTAACTATTTGCAAGAAACATATATCCTGTCTGATATGATATCCACATGGTATATAGTGTGAGATTCCACAATCCTTTTCACTGAGATGTAACAGACACTGGTCATTTATTGAAACTAGATCCTACCTCTAGTTGAAAATTACAAACAAAAATTTCCTAGGTTGCTGGGTTTTAATAAAGTTTGTCTTTGTTTTCCGTGGGCAATGTAAAGTTCTTTCGTGGCCAGGTAAACGTAGGAATAGGTAGGGGGACAGAGAAGATAAGTGAAATTTCCTGGGTCCCAGGCACTCCAGGGAAACCTTAAATTCTTGGATATATAAAATATGTATTGGGACAATAATATGGTTAATAATAGGGTAAAAGAAAATCCTTTCTGGCAATCAATACAAAAAAAAAGTTGGCCTAGATCACAACCAATAATTCCATGTCCAATCATCGGGAAGCCCACATTCCCAAGGGACCCCTCCCCAGGACTCGTCAGATCCCCCATGGCCTCCGAAAAACAAAGACTGCCTCTTCCTTGGAACCGCGTGGCTTCAAGAGCTGGACCCAAGAGTGGCGACTGCGTTTGCGGTGCAGGAGAAGCCACTAAGCCTGGGAAAGTGGGCGCTGAAAGCTCAGGCTGAACTTCTCTCCCTTCCCTCTTCCCTCTAGGACAGCGACTGCAGCGAGCAGGAAAGGAGGCAGCCTGAGCCCGCGCCCCAGGCCGCGGCGTCCTGAAGACGGAGCAGCGACGGCTCTGGCGGGACCCGAAGGCCCGGTTTCCCACACCCCAGCCTAGACCCCCTGCCTGGCATCTCCCACCCCTAGGCGCTCCTGACCTCCAGGCCCCGGGGCGGATTCGGCCCCTTCACCACCATCTCCGGGAAGAACCAAACCTTTAATTTGGGGTTTTCTTGAGTAAACAAGTCTTTTGCTCGATGATGGATTCCATGCGTATATATTTTTGAAGGATTTGAGAAGCAGCATTTGGTTTTTTATCTTCATTTTTGTGACAGTCCCTCCCTCACCTGTACATTTTTTTTTTTGTGATTATTATTTTTCTTTCCGCTCATTGCACCTTGACCCGCGAGTGAGAGGACTCAGAAGCCAAGAGCTCGCTCGCAGGGAGGATGTACCAGAGCCTGGCCATGGCCGCCAACCACGCGCCCCCTCCTGGGGCGTACGAGGCGGGCGGCCCCGGAGCCTTCATGCACGGTGCGGGCGCCGCGTCCTCGCCGGTCTATGTGCCCACGCCGCGGGTGCCCTCCTCGGTGCTGGGCCTGTCCTACCTCCAGGGCGGAGGCGGAGGCGCCGCGTCCGGAGCCACCTCCGGCGGCAGCACGGGCGCGGCCCCGTCGGGTGCTGGGCCCGGGACCCAACAGGGCAGCCCCGTCTGGAGCCAGGAGGGAGCGGCCTATACCCCGCCGCCCGTGTCGCCGCGCTTCTCCTTCCCGGGCACCACCGGGTCCCTGGCAGCTGCCGCCGCCGCCGCCGCGGCCCGGGAGGCCGCCGCCTACAGCACGGGCGGCGGGGCAGCGGGCGCAGGCCTGGCTGGGCGCGAGCAGTACGGGCGCGCCGGCTTCGCAGGCTCCTACTCCAGCCCGTACCCCGCCTACATGGCCGACGTGGGGGCGTCTTGGGCCGCAGCCGCCGCCGCCTCCGCGGGTCCCTTCGACAGCCCGGTCCTGCACAGCCTGCCCGGACGCGCGAACCCCGCCGCTCGACACCCCAATCTCGGTGAGTACTGATGCGAATACGGGAGCCAGATGGGGACCAGAGCAGAGGCTGTCCAGAGCCCTGTTTGGGACATTTAATTTTCACAGGGTGGGGAGGGTCGGGGGGTGTGTTCTTACGCGTGAGTTTCTAAGCAAAGCAAACCAGAAAGGTAGAAGCTGGTGGCGTGGGGCGATGGTGGGGTGAAGGTCGCAGTCCCAAGGAACCCACATTCTGCCAAGTGAGGACAGGCTCGCCCTGAGAGGAGATCGCAGGTGTCAGTCGGAAAGAGTCCTGCGAGCAGCCCAGACGTCGGGGCTGGCTGAGCGCAGTGCGCCCGGGGCTGCGCCCGGCACGGTGCCTGCGGGAGGCGGACGGGCTCCGGGAGGGAAGCAGCCGGGAGCCCCCCGGAGGACAGCGCTGGCGATCGCTGGGTTTCTGCCTCATTTCCTCCAGGCCCTCGCTCGGTCCTCCGCAGGGAACCGATTACGTCGGGCTTGGCAGCCAAGATCTCCTGGGCCATTTGGCGGCCCAGTTGGAGGATCCCTCGGGGTGGCAGATGATTTTGCTGCCGGGCTTTCACACCCGGAACAAAGGCGGGACCGGAGCGATGGAGATGGGTGGAACTGGGGCCGGCTTCAGGCGTGGGCCTCCGGGACAGAGCGTATTGTCGCTTTGCCGAGACCTATGTGCCCAGGAGTATCTATAAAAGGCAGGCTGGTCAGTGTCCGGAAACAAGGGAAACTCAGAGAGGTTTCTTTAATCATACATACCCGCCTTGAACAGAGACCGACGTGAACGCAGACCGTCTCCGTATCCACGGGCTGCGGTTAGAACTAATCATCGTCATGGGCACAATGTAATATTTCATTTGAATGTCACACCTGGGAAAGACGCCAGGCGCGTGCCCCCCTGCCCTGATTTATAGATGAACAAAATGAAATCTGAGAAAGGGCCTCGGTGCTTTGGGCTGGTTGGGGAAGGGAAGTGGCAACTTCTGATTAAAAATGCAAACGACCTCGGGGCCGAGCTAGGGTGTGGATGGCGCTGGCTCTTGTGGGGGAGGGGAGGCCCAGACTGGAGAAACAAAGTTAACATTTATTGACTACCTACTAAGTGCTAAATCCTTTCACATTTGTTCTCACTTTGAAGAGGAAAGCCTGTCCCTCCCAGGTTTCCAGTCTTGGGCTGGCTCGGAGAAGGATCCGTGCTTTGAAGAGCTTTTAAATTATTCTCTGACCCTGGGTGGCCAGGGAAGGTCCCCCGGGGAATCCAGCCAAATACACATCTCATGTGAACTGATTAACCGTGGAAGTGGCGCCGGAGCTGGGTCTGTGGCTCCTCGTTTCCCCCTCCCCCTCGCAGGGGAGCCAGACGGCACACCCCAGGGGAGGAGGGGACCTCCGGAGCCTTCGGGAGGACCTGAGAGAGAGAGCGTGCCCCACATCTCCATACAATGGCCGCTCCGGTGGTTGTGCGGGTGGGGTGGGGCACTTTGCCCTGCATTCTTAGAACTCTGGCTTTCTCTCTAACTTCTGTTTTAAAAGAGGTCCCTGGCTGGGTGGCTCAGTTGGTTAGGGCATCGTCCTGAAATGCCAAGGTTGCTGGTTCCATCTCCAGTTAGGGCACATATAAGAATCAATTAATGAATGCATAAATAAGTGGAACAACAAATCAATGTTTCTCTCTTTCTCAACTAAAGAAAAATAAAAGTGTCCCCTAATTCCACTTCTTTTAACTTGGAGGTGGGGTGGGGAGGTTGATTCCTAGCCCCTATAATCCTGGAGGAGAATTTAGTGTTTGGTTAGGGGAAAAAAAGAGGTCAAAAGCTAAAAATGGACGATACTTCCTGGATCATCAGAATTACAACTGCAACCATGCAGAAAACAAAAACGGTGTGAGTGCAGGCAGTGAGTATTTCGATCCTAGAATGTAGCCCCTACCGTGCAGGAGGCTGTTGGAGAAGTACTGTTTCCCAAATTCCAGTGTCAGCAGATGGCAAGCTGACCTCCAAAGAGTGCTCTCTTGCCAAGAAGTGTGGCTGTCTTCCCAGCACTCTGCTCTGTCCCACCAGCTCAGGGAGTCCCACCTGAAGACAGCCCTTGGGTCTGGTCTCACAACTTGATTGTCTCTTCTGCACATAGCCAAGTGTTTTAAATGGGCCAGTCATGAAAGATTCCGGGTTATAATTGTGAGGGAACATGAGGCAGGTTGAATTGGTTGGCATTCACATCTTCAGGTGGCACTTAGATATAAGCAAGTTAGGGTAAATGGGTGTTTTTTGTTTTTTGTTTTTTTTAAATGTTTTTATTGATTTCAGAAAGGAAGGGAAAGGGAGAGATAGAAACATCAATGATAAGAGAGAATCATTGATAGGCTGCCTCCTGCATGCCCCCCCCACCCCACCACCACCACCACTGGGGGTGGAGCCTGCAACCTGGGCATGTTCCCTTGACCAGAATTGAACCTGGGACCCTTCAGTTCATAGGCTGACAGTCTATCCACTGAGCCATACCAGCTAGGGCATGGGTCACTGGGTTTTTATATGTTCCTCCTATCACATGGATCCTCCTGAAAATGCCTGGTAGCTTTCTCAAGACCAATCCTGGCACATTAGCTGGCAGTGGCTGATAGAAGGATGATGATAGAGAAGTACTGATTCTTCAGTGTTTACTGAGAGCTTGCTGTGTAGAGTTGCCACCAGGCCCTAAGATGGCCATATAGTGTGATGGTGTGACTCAGGCAAACCTAGATTCAATTTCACGTGTCCCTGTGGTCTTGGTTGGGCAAGTTACTTACCTCTCTCTGTCTCCTCTCTTTTTCTTTAGAAAAGGATAATGTAACTACTTTTAGTGTTCTCTTAAATAAGAAAAACAAGGTAATGTTTGTGAAGCACTTGGCCCCTCATTAACGATGGCTATTTCATTAAACAGTCTCACACTCTCATGTGGAGTGACCAATTTTCCTGATTTGCTCAGGACTGAGGGGTCTTCCAGGACTTGGGAATTTTAATGTTAAACCTAGGACAGTCCCTAACAAATGAGGATGGTTGATCACCCTAAACAGACATGAAAATGGGTAAGTGACCCAGCAGCATGCTACAGTAATGAGCTCAGAGCAAAGGAGAGAAGAAAGAGGTTGTTCTTCCCTTTGTCTAGGAATCTGGAAGCCTGCACCTAAGTGGTGCCATCTCCATTTGGCCTTGAAGGTTGAGTAGGAGTTCGCCAGGAAAAGCACCTGCAAATTGAAAAGAAAAAAGAAGCCCTGGCCGGTGTGTCTGAGTGGTTAGAATGTTGACCTGCACACTGAAGGGTCACCAGCTTGATTCGGGTCAAGGGCATGTACCTGGGTTGCAGGTTCTATCCCTGGCCCCAATTGGGCAAGTGCAGGAGGCAACCAATCATGTGTCTCTCTCACATCGATGTGGGGTTTTTTTCCCTCCCTCTCTCCCTCCCACCCCTTCCACCCTCTCTAAAAAAAAATCAATGGAAAAATACCCTTGGTTGAGAATTAAAAAAAGAAGAAGAATAAAAAGAAAAAAGAAAAAAAGTTATGCCCATTTACTATCACACTGTAGTACCATGAATGATACAACATAGCTTGGTATTTATCACCATAGGTAAAACCACCCTTCACTCCAAAACTGTTTGTAATTTTAATGAGGAAAAATAAGAACACACCTCTATTTTTTCTATAATATGAATCTCCTTAGTATTAACAATATCTTGCCAGAATACTTATGTTGGATTTTTAATAAGGTAAAAATCAAAGTAATAAAAGCTAATAGAGGCCTCTGTAAAGCCCTGCACTTAAGTTGGAAGGAATTTTTCTACCTTGACTGCAATGTATATGAACTTAATTCATTCCAAGTTCAATATGAGCCTTGACCCTAAACAACAATTGAAATCGTTAATTAGGCTGCATTAATGGAATTATGTGACCTTAGTGAGGGCAGGTACAGAGTCTTACTCATATTTAAGTGCCTGGCACATGCCAGGCACTTAGCAAATATTTGAGAAGAGATCTAGGAGGCAATTGCCTCAGTCCTCTGCCCAGGTCAAACTGCACACAATGGCCACTGAGGAGGCCAACTGGGGAGCCTCAGAAAAGAGTGAGCAGTGTGGGAGAAGGTTCTGGAAACTTTGGGAAACCACTGGAACTGTTGAGATTGCAGAAGTCACGGGGTGGATAAGTGAGGGTGAGAGCGACTGTGTACACAGATATCTAAAAGGCAAACGTCTGTGGCCTTCTAACCTTGTGCTGCTCCAGGTGAGCCGGTATTAAGTTTGAGAACACTTTCTCACACTTGATTGTAGTTGTTGAAATGGAATAGGGACATGGTTTGTCTTAATAATAAACCCCTGGGCACTGAAAGTTCTGAGACTGCGTTGCCATCGGCCAGTGGAGCTGTGCAAGGAATTCTTGCGTTTTATGTTGCAGGTCTGTGTTTGTGTTCATGTGAAATAGCTATAGTAGGGTAATGTATCTGCCTTCTTTTAAAGAAACCAATCACAGTGGTTACACAGGTAGAGCAATTTGTCAAAACTGGTGGAAAGGTACTATTAATAAAACGAGTATTTTATTGCATGTACATTACAACACAAAGTTGGTTTTTGTACCAATTAATGCTTGTAAATACATAAGGCTGAAAAGGGAACAATGGAAATTATATGAAAATATGCCTTGAAGGAAATGGCATTTTGGTAGATGTTACTGGAAACACTATTAAAATATAATTTATTATAAAATGACAGTTCTTTTGTATAATAGAGAAACAATCAGTTATAATATTTTCAAAGGATCTCAAAATTTTTGAATAATTTAAAGCAGCGGTTCTCAACCTGTGGGTCGCGACCCCTTTGGGGATCAAAGGACCCTTTCATAGGGGTCGCCTAAGACCATCGGAAAACACATATATAATTACATATTGTTTTTGTGATTAATCACTATGCTTTAATTATGTTCAATTTGTAACAATGAAAATACATCCTGCATATCAGATATTTACATTATGATTCATAACA